ATCTCCTTCGTCTGTTCCAACTTTATCCCTTCGCCTACGCATTGTTATTTCTCTTGGATAAACCAGGGTGACCGATTCCAAATCACTAAAATAGGGCGCAGCCACTCAAAAATAGGGCAAAAATAGGGCGAAATTGGTCAAAAATAGGGCAAAAAATAGGGCATGATTTTAAAAATTAATTAAAATCTTAAATAAAAAGCGTTATCTGTATATTTTCACTAGTTTTAACTAAATTAGCACATAGGGATCGAGTTGTTTAAAAATATTTTTTGAAGATAGTAAATCAAAAACATTTCGAAAACATCGATGAAAATATTTTTAAAAATCTTTTAAATAAAAATTCGAAAAAATAATCTCGAAAATCGAAACCGGTAGTCGAGCCGAATTTAGGATATTTTGGATCGACAATCCCTCAAACTCCTGTACGTAATCCTTTCTAGCGTCCTCTCATAATAAGCTTATAATTTCAGCGCCGCAGGCAAAATTTTTAAAAATTTGGGAAGGCCAAGTCTCAAAATTTCTTGCATTTTCAGCGCCGCAGGCGAAAATTTTAAGAATTTTTGACGTCCAAGAGTTATATTTCTTCATTTTTTCACATTTTATTTACAAAAGCTGAAGAATTTTAAAAATTTTACAAGATGGTAAAAATAGGGCAAAAATATGGCAAATGAAAAAATGGGGAAAAAATAGGGCGAAAAGTTCAAAAATTAGGCAAATGCCCTATAAATAGGGTAAAATCGGCACCCTGATTGATACCTTGTACGATAATAATTTTCTCCTACAGCGTTAAAAAAGTGATTTTCTGCAAGTTCGTTACGATAATGCGGCATCAGAAAGTCATTGGCAAAATTTACCTTTCGTACATCACCGTTATATTCTTCAAGCAACTCGAAAAAAGTATCGTTAATTTCTTTAAGTCTTCTTGTGAGATGTGTATATCAGAAAATCATAAAAATTCTAGATAAAGTACAAGTAACTACGAGATATTAGTACAAGGCCAAAAATAACACGGTGATAACAGTAATAACAGTTTTTAAAAATCCGAGCGGCATTTTGGAAGAAACCATGCAATCTGCATTTACAGCAGTGGTGGGTCGGAATTCTGATTTCCGGCTTCTCTGTCATTTCTGACCCACCTCTGATTTGCAGCAGCCTTATATCTTATTTAATAAAAACATACTGTATATCCAGAGGGAGTATATTTTTGACGATCAATTTTGTTTTTTGATAAGGCAACAACAAGGGTACTAATTTAGTTTCCCCCCCAGTCAGTTTTTTCGAAAATTATGTAAAAATGGTCAGTCTGAACAACAATTGTAGAACCCATCGAGCTGTGTCGAATGACACCAAAATCAACGAAATCCGACTTGATTTGACCGAAATACAGACCCCTGAAAATTGAACGACCATGGGGGTGATTTTTTGAAATAAAAAAAGTTTACCCAATTGATAGCTCATTCAAAAGAGCTCGTCGAGCTGAGTCGAATGACGCCAAAATTAACGAAATCGGACAAGATTTGACAAAGTTATGACATTATTTAGACCTGCCGGAGTCGACGACTTATGTCATAACTTTGTCAAATCAAGTCGGATTTCGTTGATTTTGGTCTCATTCGACTCAGCTCGACGAGCTCTTTCGAATGAGCTATCATTTGTATGGATTTTCGTCTTTATGATTTTGTGCCACTGTGGTTTAGGGGTCTGTATTTCGGTCAAATCAAGTCGGATTTTGTTGATTTTGGTGTCATTCGACACAGCTCGATGGGTTCTACAATTGTTGTTCAGACTGACCATTTTTACATAATTTTCGAAAAAACTGACTGGGGGGGGAAACTAAATTAGTACCACAACAAGTCTAAGTCCTTCATTCATACATAGAAATTTTGAATTTGGCTATTAAAATTTTTTAAATAAAATTAGTATTCAATACCCTTTTAGTTTTTTCCTTAAAATCTTCAACCAATTCAACAATTTCTTTTCTTTGTTGATCAGATAACATTCCATCAGGATCACAAACATAAGCAGGGTTTGTGACACCACATTTCCAACGAGAGTCTCCCCTAGGGGATGGATAATCTTCCCAAGTCCATGAATTTGTTCTGATAATCAAATAAATTATAATTGTTAAAAATTTGAACATTTTTTTCCAAAATAAATTTAACTAGTTTTTAATGGAAAATATAAATTTAGGAAATATATCGGCGGATCGCCAAAAGAAAATATGATACTGAATAAATTATTGTAATAATTCTAATACATATATTAGTGTTCGTCATTTGCGATTTTTCGAGATCGAGATTATCGAAAAATCTCGATATCGAAAAAATCTCGATTTTTCCAAAAATTGATCGAGACGATATCGATATCGATAATCTCGAAAAATCTCGATATCGAAAAATCTCGGTCCAAAATTTTCGGTCTAAAATTTTTTTATAAATAGTGAATAAATAGTGAATTTAGTATTTGTAATGAATCAATGGAAGTGTTTGGTTCAGAAAAATTACTTAGGTTGTGTCATAAATAATTAGCCCCCCTTATGCTAAACGGATTAAATAATTATTAAAATTCAACTAAACGTTTTCAGACTTCGAATTATATTTTTCTATGATCATAAGAAGGTTGCCTATTTTCTGACAAAAAATTAGAGTCCTAGGATTAGGTTGGCCGGAGTTAGAGGTAAAATAATAAAACTTGTATTTTTGAAACAAGGCAAAGTCTTTTTGATTTTTCTTTGCAAAATTGATGAGTAAGAATGAAAATTTAAATAGATTCTGATAGAGCAGAATCTGATGAATACAATGATATAAAAAATTCCCCTGGAAAATAATTGGCTGATTTTCTAGAGGGTCGCATTTGCGAAATAGGGGCTACATTACTCTGTTTTAGGATAACCCTCGCGCGAAAATGCCCAGATAGGCCAGAAGACCGGATTTTTTGATGGACTCAATTTATTTAGGAACAATACTATTTGGGGGTAATAGTTCAGCCAGTTTCATCTAATTTCCAATGAATACACCTCCGCAACACCATCAAATACATAACAGATCACGCTCTAGGACCAGTCTGATTTAGAGGTCGAAACTGATTGTTATCTGGGATGAGCCGTTCCTTTTTGTTTACAGAATTTATGAAGGCAACCCACTCTTCATTATAGGTTAAAATTTGTATCAAACAAGGAGCTTCATTGTGGCATTTAAGGGGTTGTTTTGCAAAAGTGACTTAGCGATTTTTTTAATTTTGCGGCAATTCATGGGGTATCAATCGACTCTTCATAACTTGATACTCGCTTCAAGTAAAATTATGGAAATTTTTGTAGGTGAGCAGGTGAGTGCCTGCCCCAATATACACATTTTATTTTTTGGACTGGCCTTGATTCCGGGGAGAACGGGATTCTTATCTATCGTTGGTTGGCATCCAAGACGTTATTTGTCTTTCAGCTCCTCTCTACTTTTCTTTTACTTGGAGAGCCAACTTTTTTCAGTGGAATATGAGTAACATCCACATACTTCGCTTTGCATATTTTGCGCCATGATTACTTTTCCGAATGTCCAAGTTCAATCCCATCTCTGAACTGGACGCCAATTTCCTAATTTTGACTTAAACTTTAAAAATTCATAAAAAATTTTTAAATAAAGAAAAAATTTCAAATCTTTCAGAAAATGAAGAAGGCATCATTGTGAATATATGACAAAAAAATTAAATAGATTGGAGATCTGAACATTGAGATATAAAGCTTACACTATACATGGTTTTAGGGGGGCTAATTATTTATGACACAACCTAAGTAGCATTTCTGCATTTACTATACTCAAAAGTGATCGCCTGTAGTCAAAGACGTCTCTTGCTACGGACCGATACGAGATCGAGATCGATAATCTCGAAAAATCTCGATATCGAAAAATCTCGATTTTTTCAAAAATTGATCGGGACGAGATCGAGATCGATAATCTCGAAAAAAATCACGCGATATCTCGAAAAATATCGTCGATATATCGTCTCGTGACGAACACTAACATACATATAACGTATTTATTCTAATTAAATGGCTTCTGCATTTGAATAGCAAACCCAATTCAGTGTCTCTTATTAATTAAAACCAAATAAATCACACTCCATTATTTCCTTTATTACCTGGTTTAACATTAGTTCTATTATAGATAATCCTGATACTTTTGTGTTTGAATTAGAAAAAGAAGTTAAAGAGTGATATCTGAGAGTAAGTGAAATATCGTAGAGTAAGTGAAAAGAGTAAGTAAGTAGAGTAAGTGAAAAATTTTTCAGAAAAATGATGCTCGATAATTATGCAAATAATAATTATCCATAATGATATAATTCATTTATAATAAAGATAAAATCTCAATAAAAATCGAAAAATTAAGAAATCTAATATTAGTTATAAAAATTTTTCAATAATTATTTGCCATTATATATAAATTAATAAGTTCAATTTTGCTAGTAACCTGTAAATAATTAGTAACCTGTAAATAATTTATTTCATAAGATTTGTATTTTTAATTTAAATACTTGAAAATATATACACATTACTTATCAAAAAGGTAAATTAACATACTCTATTAATTAAATAATAAATATAAAATTTATTTTTATTTGTTCCAATAAATTTTATTTTTTATTCCCTAATTAATAAATTTAATCCTAATTTTTTGACATTTTCTGTAAATTTTTAATGTTACTCTAGTATGTATAATCTTGTGTTCCCTTTATAAATGTTTGTCGTATAAAAACAGTTGTTTAATTTAATCGACTTCTTTAAAGATTTTATTTCCAATTTATTGTTCAATTATTCGATCGATTTATAAAATTTATAATGAGTAAATAAAGTATAAAAAATATGAAAAGTTTCTTGGATGGTTGATGTGATAAAATCATTTTATAAATTTGTTGCTTCTTCTTCTAAATTTGAATCCAAGTAATACCAATTGTGTTCTACATCAAGATCGTATATTTTTCCTAGATTAGTCACTTAAGCAACATAAACCTTTAAAACAATTAAACAATACTACCTATATTTTATCGCAATTGAAGAGGTTTTTGAAACAATGATTATTACATATAATTTTATTGGATTATTTATTTTATCCTTAATTCTGTATTTAAATGCCGAACAAGGCATGCCAGGATTTCCTGGAATTCCTGGTTATAAAAAAATATTTTTATAATTCCGAATTTTACAGGTCAAAAAGGAGAGAAGGGCTCTTATGGAGAACCCGGTTTTCCAGGAGTGCCAGGGCAGCCAGGTAAGTTTTATATTAATTTATTGGAATAAAATTAAAGAGTAAAATCCATAGGTTTGAAAGGAGATGATGGGTTTCCTGGTGCGCCTGGATTTCCTGGTTTTACTAAATGAAAAAATTATTAAAATTTTATTCTTTAGGTATGAAAGGAGAATCTGGTTTGCCTGGTGCGCCTGGATTTCCTGGTTTTAAATAAAAAAATTATTAAAATTTTATTCTTTCGGTATGAAAGGAGAAGCGGGATCAGATGGTTTGTTAATAAATCTAATTATTAGACATGTTTTTCAGCTAGATAAATAATATTGTGATTTGTATGAGTCATGGTGAATCAAATGCATACCTATAGCACTCATATGGTCATTAAATCACTGTCATATCGGTACTCTAGGATTAGGTCAAAATTAGTGTTGGTCAAACGCGATTCTGCGGTATCGGTATTTTCGGTAAAATACCGATACCGCAAAATACCGCGGTTTTTTGTTTAAGGCCGTATCGGTATCGGTATTTCGGTAAAAATACCGCGGTATTACCGAAAAAAATAATACGGTACCGCGACCAACTCTAGTCAAAATACATAGAATTAAAATGCCAGTATAGTTTAAGAGCATTTCAGATACCTAAATTTATAGTATAGTTTCTTGCTTCAAAATTTAGCAATATTAATTATAGGAACATGTCCTGCAAATTGTCGTTATAGTAAGAATTATATCTATTTAGAATTCGTAAATTTTACATACCAAACAGATGAGCTTTTTCCTCAAATTACTAAACTACAGGAAACATTGGAAGCTTTGAAGAAAAGAATCGAAGTGTTGGAGAATAATTAATTTTAAATTTATTAAATGATCAGATTAGATTATTTGATTAATATTGAATTAAATTAATATTGTTAATTTTTTTATTAGTTAATTTATTGAATTTTTAAAATAAATTTTTAAAACAGACATATTTTAGTTCGTTTATTCATATTTCAACAAATTACAGTCTATCAAGATTTATCAAAGAAACTCATAGTAAATAGTTTTAATAATTATAATTTAAATCTAATTTAATGACAAACGTATATTTAATTAATAAAGGAGAAATTCAATGATAAGTTGCATTACATTTGACAATACACATTTGTTAGAATCATTAAATTTCAAAATTTATTATTATTTATTGAATTTAGAATTTAAATTTTAGTGATAAATTGTATTTATAAATTATAAAAAATAAAAATAATAGAGAAGAGTTTATATATGTATAATTTATATATAAAACTGTCTAATAAAATAAAAATATATATAAAAAATTTGAATAAAGTTGCTATAAGAAATGTAATGTATGTGATATCAATGGAACTTAAAGCAGATGATAATAAAACAAACAAAATTTCTAATCAATAAACAAAGCAATATCCAAAGATATTAAACATTTAGTCGAAAATTTAAATGAGACCAATGAAGGCAAGCTTTTTTATGATTTTACAAATTTATAATAATTGACAAAAACAAACATCGAATATTAATAAATAATAAAGGAAAATTCGATAATTTGTAAAAATAATTTGTAATTTATTGAAATAATTTGTAAGTTAGACCGGTAAAATTAAAAAACATAAATGCATACAGAAATGGAAGATAAGATAATTTGAATTTCGAACGAAGGTAATAAAAATGACATGAATCGACTAATTCCGGTATTTATACATATACTATCAATTTTTGTATTTTCTGCTTTACAATATTTTTAATTTATTTCAGGTTTTAATTTATTTCAGGTTCTATCTAATTTTTTATTTCTATTTATATGAGGTAATTATTCCCATAAATGAATCAAACTGGGAGATGGCCTTTTAAATGGGAGATGGCCTTTATATCTTTATTTTCCAAATTACCAATTAAATACATATAAAATATTAAAACAAAAATTAATAAATAAAAATAAAAATTTTTTGATTAAAATATACATGGTTGTATATGTTTAACTATAATAATTTATATTTAATTTCACTAGCACGTTAGCTCTACAAGTTAGCTCTCTCATTTAAAGAAAAAAAGAGATTAGAATAATAAATAAAATGAATAATTAATTAAAATTTTACAAATTAATGAAAAGCATTAAAGTTAATAGGATATAATAATCATTTTATTAAAGTGATTTCTCAAAATGACCGCCCCTGACTATAATACACGCATCCAAACGCTTACGGTTGTGACTCAAAATGGTCGCGCATCGTTCATAAGATATCTAGGTCCAGTCCCGCTCAAAACAATCTTCTGTTCCTCCTATGTTGCGTATCGGATTCGGCATACTTTTTTCTACAAAATTGCCCAAATAGAATAATCCACGGATTTAAATCCGTTGAGTTTGAAGGCCAGAAATCTTTCCCCCAAAAGCTAGGAAACAGCTCCCCACAGAGCTGGATTGTTGTTTTGGCTCCATGCACAGGTACCCAATCCTGCTGAAGCGAGAAATGGTTTTCACCAAAATGCTATAACGCCCATGGATGCACAACCCCCCTCAGAATGTCATTTTTTTAGACTAGCATTAATTTTTACATGCATCACTCTGTTATGGCGACCAGCTGCGACCAGGCGTTTAATCCTTCCGACATTTCTGAAGTTTCTGATGCTTCATTGGATTAATAAGAAAATATACGGGCTGATCTTTTAGCTTCGAAGTCTAAGCTTCACTCTGACAATTCTTAGGAGGCTCTTCGAGCTCATTCCGAGATCTGAGGCCGTTTTTCACATCGATTGTTCAGAAAACCGGCGAATTCGGCATTTGACCACGTTCATGTTTTCAGGCGTAACTGCGGCAAAAGGCCGGCCACTACTAGGGCGGTCCTGATATTTCCAAGCTCATGATATCGTTTTATTGCTTTGGAAACCAATATACGACAGATATCTAGCCGTCTAGCGATGTCACATTTTCGAACATTTTTAAAATACAGAGAATAGAAGCACGATTTTTTAACATGCTGTAAAATTTTTACTTTATGAGATAGGAAAAAAATTTCAAGATAAAATTTGTAGAGCGTGAATCATAGAATTTGGGAAATCTAATCAAAAAGCAAAATATGAAGTAAATTTTAAGAAAGGACAAAATAAAATTTGTCGCCGAACTTTTGCCCCACCCTGTAGTTATCAAAATATCATTTTGATGATATTTTTAGTCTAAATAATATCGTAAATTTATTAGCTCCAGTTAGTTTTCTAATAAATTCGAGGCCTATAATGTTACAAATTTATAATAATACATATTTTTACTCACGTTAAATGGAAATAAAAAATAAATAAAAAGACCTTTTTTGTAATATGTATGTTATTCGAATGCAAACATTTTTGTTTTGTTCACAATCCTTGTAGTATATAACATTATTAATCATTTTGATAAATTCACGATGAAAATAATATAAGAAAATCATATATATAAAATAGGGGACCGAAAATTTGTTCAAACCGGAATTTTCATATTTCAGGGTGAAAAAGGTTTCCATAATTCTTTTGCAAAATAAATTTATAGCCATCTTCCTTTTTTAAAAACAAGATCGATAAAGATTTTTAAGTAAAATAACACTATAAATTTAATTATAATTTAAAATTTTAAACTAGAAAAGCAACAGCAAGAAGAAAATACGGTATTCAATAAAAGGAAAATTCTGTCGTGAAAACGAGGGAAAATATATAAATAAAATTTATTTATTTTATTAATTTTATTTATTTATATTTTTATTAATTTTTAATATAATTTTTTCCCAAACATTACACAATTAGTCACTTTGCTCTTTCCCGAGCATTTCCGTTCTCTTCTCTCTCATAAAATATACACCTTTTTCTGGTTGTATAAAAGCCCCTATCTTATAATTATATCAGTGCTTTTAACTACTTCTAAGTTCCTTTAAGTTCTCCTTAATACATTTCTTTGTATTTTTAAAATATTTTAAAAATAAATATTTATTCTTTGGAAATTGTTCTCGATTGGTATTAAAATTGGGAATTAATTAGAAGGTTTAATTGGTTTTCGCCAACAAATACTTAGCTTCTGGTATTTGTTGTAGCTTGGAAAGACTAATTTCTTTCAATTCTACATAGATAAAGAGAAATATTATAATTGTTGATTAAAAAATAATATAACGAATGAAGATTAACCGTCAAAATAAGATCTATGGCGATAATCCTAAAATAATTTTCACTGAAATTATCGAATAAGACACAAGGATTTTGTAAATTAACATTCTGCATTAAATTTATATCTTTTAATAAATATTTATAAATTAATATTTTATAAAGAGTATCCTTAATTAAAATTTTATTAATCTTTTAGACTTTTTGATTTTAATTGTTTTCAAGTTTTTTGTGTGAAATATTTGTTAAGCATTTAAGCAAGATTTTTTATACATTGAACTATGTAATTAAAACAAATTTTGATATTACAAATTTAATCGTAAATATTAGTTTTAATAATAAATAAAGTAATACTTTTTAAAAATATATGAGCATGAGCATTTCTACACGTATTATAAAATTACTATTCTATCTGACTCTCCACCGCTACCACAATTCTTTCTAATAACCGCATTGCAAAGTATATCTTGTACGGCAGAATTTGAAAGACCAGCACCCATCGATAATTAGATGTAAATTGCCATATCTAAATTTAAACTATTAATAAATACGGTCGTCAACATCAATTTAAAAAATTCATAACTGAATGGAAAGTAAAAAATAAATAAGAAATTAATTTAAAAATTATAATACTTTACTAATCCTGTTAATAAATAAATGTGCAAATAAATGTCAGTTAAATTATATTTAAATAAATTATTATTTAAATTAATTAAAACTCTAGAAATAAAACAATTTTAGAATGTTAATGTAATCTCAAGAAATAAATCCCTTTTTCTTTAACCCCAAATTACCATTTTTCCACACATAATTACAAATTTTAGAATTAAATAACCCAAAAAATTAAATAAGCAAATGAATTATTCGCTCTAGCTTTTGACTCTACTCCTCAATTTGTTCCAGGAAGTATAAATTCTTCCAATGTATACTACTTGTATTGCAGTTGAATTACTCAAGGAAGGAACAACTTTTCATCGTTTGCCATTATATATAAATTAATAAGTTCAATTTTGCTAGTAACCTGTAAATAATTAGTAACCTGTAAATAATTTATTTCATAAGATTTGTATTTTTAATTTAAATACTTGAAAATATATACACATTACTTATCAAAAAGGTAAATTAACATACTCTATTAATTAAATAATAAATATAAAATTTATTTTTATTTGTTCCAATAAATTTTATTTTTTATTCCCTAATTAATAAATTTAATCCTAATTTTTTGACATTTTCTGTAAATTTTTAATGTTACTCTAGTATGTATAATCTTGTGTTCCCTTTATAAATGTTTGTCGTATAAAAACAGTTGTTTAATTTAATCGACTTCTTTAAAGATTTTATTTCCAATTTATTGTTCAATTATTCGATCGATTTATAAAATTTATAATGAGTAAATAAAGTATAAAAAATATGAAAAGTTTCTTGGATGGTTGATGTGATAAAATCATTTTATAAATTTGTTGCTTCTTCTTCTAAATTTGAATCCAAGTAATACCAATTGTGTTCTACATCAAGATCGTATATTTTTCCTAGATTAGTCACTTAAGCAACATAAACCTTTAAAACAATTAAACAATACTACCTATATTTTATCGCAATTGAAGAGGTTTTTGAAACAATGATTATTACATATAATTTTATTGGATTATTTATTTTATCCTTAATTCTGTATTTAAATGCCGAACAAGGCATGCCAGGATTTCCTGGAATTCCTGGTTATAAAAAAATATTTTTATAATTCCGAATTTTACAGGTCAAAAAGGAGAGAAGGGCTCTTATGGAGAACCCGGTTTTCCAGGAGTGCCAGGGCAGCCAGGTAAGTTTTATATTAATTTATTGGAATAAAATTAAAGAGTAAAATCCATAGGTTTGAAAGGAGATGATGGGTTTCCTGGTGCGCCTGGATTTCCTGGTTTTACTAAATGAAAAAATTATTAAAATTTTATTCTTTAGGTATGAAAGGAGAATCTGGTTTGCCTGGTGCGCCTGGATTTCCTGGTTTTAAATAAAAAAATTATTAAAATTTTATTCTTTCGGTATGAAAGGAGAAGCGGGATCAGATGGTTTGTTAATAAATCTAATTATTAGACATGTTTTTCAGCTAGATAAATAATATTGTGATTTGTATGAGTCATGGTGAATCAAATGCATACCTATAGCACTCATATGGTCATTAAATCACTGTCATATCGGTACTCTAGGATTAGGTCAAAATTAGTGTTGGTCAAACGCGATTCTGCGGTATCGGTATTTTCGGTAAAATACCGATACCGCAAAATACCGCGGTTTTTTGTTTAAGGCCGTATCGGTATCGGTATTTCGGTAAAAATACCGCGGTATTACCGAAAAAAATAATACGGTACCGCGACCAACTCTAGTCAAAATACATAGAATTAAAATGCCAGTATAGTTTAAGAGCATTTCAGATACCTAAATTTATAGTATAGTTTCTTGCTTCAAAATTTAGCAATATTAATTATAGGAACATGTCCTGCAAATTGTCGTTATAGTAAGAATTATATCTATTTAGAATTCGTAAATTTTACATACCAAACAGATGAGCTTTTTCCTCAAATTACTAAACTACAGGAAACATTGGAAGCTTTGAAGAAAAGAATCGAAGTGTTGGAGAATAATTAATTTTAAATTTATTAAATGATCAGATTAGATTATTTGATTAATATTGAATTAAATTAATATTGTTAATTTTTTTATTAGTTAATTTATTGAATTTTTAAAATAAATTTTTAAAACAGACATATTTTAGTTCGTTTATTCATATTTCAACAAATTACAGTCTATCAAGATTTATCAAAGAAACTCATAGTAAATAGTTTTAATAATTATAATTTAAATCTAATTTAATGACAAACGTATATTTAATTAATAAAGGAGAAATTCAATGATAAGTTGCATTACATTTGACAATACACATTTGTTAGAATCATTAAATTTCAAAATTTATTATTATTTATTGAATTTAGAATTTAAATTTTAGTGATAAATTGTATTTATAAATTATAAAAAATAAAAATAATAGAGAAGAGTTTATATATGTATAATTTATATATAAAACTGTCTAATAAAATAAAAATATATATAAAAAATTTGAATAAAGTTGCTATAAGAAATGTAATGTATGTGATATCAATGGAACTTAAAGCAGATGATAATAAAACAAACAAAATTTCTAATCAATAAACAAAGCAATATCCAAAGATATTAAACATTTAGTCGAAAATTTAAATGAGACCAATGAAGGCAAGCTTTTTTATGATTTTACAAATTTATAATAATTGACAAAAACAAACATCGAATATTAATAAATAATAAAGGAAAATTCGATAATTTGTAAAAATAATTTGTAATTTATTGAAATAATTTGTAAGTTAGACCGGTAAAATTAAAAAACATAAATGCATACAGAAATGGAAGATAAGATAATTTGAATTTCGAACGAAGGTAATAAAAATGACATGAATCGACTAATTCCGGTATTTATACATATACTATCAATTTTTGTATTTTCTGCTTTACAATATTTTTAATTTATTTCAGGTTTTAATTTATTTCAGGTTCTATCTAATTTTTTATTTCTATTTATATGAGGTAATTATTCCCATAAATGAATCAAACTGGGAGATGGCCTTTTAAATGGGAGATGGCCTTTATATCTTTATTTTCCAAATTACCAATTAAATACATATAAAATATTAAAACAAAAATTAATAAATAAAAATAAAAATTTTTTGATTAAAATATACATGGTTGTATATGTTTAACTATAATAATTTATATTTAATTTCACTAGCACGTTAGCTCTACAAGTTAGCTCTCTCATTTAAAGAAAAAAAGAGATTAGAATAATAAATAAAATGAATAATTAATTAAAATTTTACAAATTAATGAAAAGCATTAAAGTTAATAGGATATAATAATCATTTTATTAAAGTGATTTCTCAAAATGACCGCCCCTGACTATAATACACGCATCCAAACGCTTACGGTTGTGACTCAAAATGGTCGCGCATCGTTCATAAGATATCTAGGTCCAGTCCCGCTCAAAACAATCTTCTGTTCCTCCTATGTTGCGTATCGGATTCGGCATACTTTTTTCTACAAAATTGCCCAAATAGAATAATCCACGGATTTAAATCCGTTGAGTTTGAAGGCCAGAAATCTTTCCCCCAAAAGCTAGGAAACAGCTCCCCACAGAGCTGGATTGTTGTTTTGGCTCCATGCACAGGTACCCAATCCTGCTGAAGCGAGAAATGGTTTTCACCAAAATGCTATAACGCCCATGGATGCACAACCCCCCTCAGAATGTCATTTTTTTAGACTAGCATTAATTTTTACATGCATCACTCTGTTATGGCGACCAGCTGCGACCAGGCGTTTAATCCTTCCGACATTTCTGAAGTTTCTGATGCTTCATTGGATTAATAAGAAAATATACGGGCTGATCTTTTAGCTTCGAAGTCTAAGCTTCACTCTGACAATTCTTAGGAGGCTCTTCGAGCTCATTCCGAGATCTGAGGCCGTTTTTCACATCGATTGTTCAGAAAACCGGCGAATTCGGCATTTGACCACGTTCATGTTTTCAGGCGTAACTGCGGCAAAAGGCCGGCCACTACTAGGGCGGTCCTGATATTTCCAAGCTCATGATATCGTTTTATTGCTTTGGAAACCAATATACGACAGATATCTAGCCGTCTAGCGATGTCACATTTTCGAACATTTTTAAAATACAGAGAATAGAAGCACGATTTTTTAACATGCTGTAAAATTTTTACTTTATGAGATAGGAAAAAAATTTCAAGATAAAATTTGTAGAGCGTGAATCATAGAATTTGGGAAATCTAATCAAAAAGCAAAATATGAAGTAAATTTTAAGAAAGGACAAAATAAAATTTGTCGCCGAACTTTTGCCCCACCCTGTAGTTATCAAAATATCATTTTGATGATATTTTTAGTCTAAATAATATCGTAAATTTATTAGCTCCAGTTAGTTTTCTAATAAATTCGAGGCCTATAATGTTACAAATTTATAATAATACATATTTTTACTCACGTTAAATGGAAATAAAAAATAAATAAAAAGACCTTTTTTGTAATATGTATGTTATTCGAATGCAAACATTTTTGTTTTGTTCACAATCCTTGTAGTATATAACATTATTAATCATTTTGATAAATTCACGATGAAAATAATATAAGAAAATCATATATATAAAATAGGGGACCGAAAATTTGTTCAAACCGGAATTTTCATATTTCAGGGTGAAAAAGGTTTCCATAATTCTTTTGCAAAATAAATTTATAGCCATCTTCCTTTTTTAAAAACAAGATCGATAAAGATTTTTAAGTAAAATAACACTATAAATTTAATTATAATTTAAAATTTTAAACTAGAAAAGCAACAGCAAGAAGAAAATACGGTATTCAATAAAAGGAAAATTCTGTCGTGAAAACGAGGGAAAATATATAAATAAAATTTATTTATTTTATTAATTTTATTTATTTATATTTTTATTAATTTTTAATATAATTTTTTCCCAAACATTACACAATTAGTCACTTTGCTCTTTCCCGAGCATTTCCGTTCTCTTCTCTCTCATAAAATATACACCTTTTTCTGGTTGTATAAAAGCCCCTATCTTATAATTATATCAGTGCTTTTAACTACTTCTAAGTTCCTTTAAGTTCTCCTTAATACATTTCTTTGTATTTTTAAAATATTTTAAAAATAAATATTTATTCTTTGGAAATTGTTCTCGATTGGTATTAAAATTGGGAATTAATTAGAAGGTTTAATTGGTTTTCGCCAACAAATACTTAGCTTCTGGTATTTGTTGTAGCTTGGAAAGACTAATTTCTTTCAATTCTACATAGATAAAGAGAAATATTATAATTGTTGATTAAAAAATAATATAACGAATGAAGATTAACCGTCAAAATAAGATCTATGGCGATAATCCTAAAATAATTTTCACTGAAATTATCGAATAAGACACAAGGATTTTGTAAATTAACATTCTGCATTAAATTTATATCTTTTAATAAATATTTATAAATTAATATTTTATAAAGAGTATCCTTAATTAAAATTTTATTAATCTTTTAGACTTTTTGATTTTAATTGTTTTCAAGTTTTTTGTGTGAAATATTTGTTAAGCATTTAAGCAAGATTTTTTATACATTGAACTATGTAATTAAAACAAATTTTGATATTACAAATTTAATCGTAAATATTAGTTTTAATAATAAATAAAGTAATACTTTTTAAAAATATATGAGCATGAGCATTTCTACACGTATTATAAAATTACTATTCTATCTGACTCTCCACCGCTACCACAATTCTTTCTAATAACCGCATTGCAAAGTATATCTTGTACGGCAGAATTTGAAAGACCAGCACCCATCGATAATTAGATGTAAATTGCCATATCTAAATTTAAACTATTAATAAATACGGTCGTCAACATCAATTTAAAAAATTCATAACTGAATGGAAAGTAAAAAATAAATAAGAAATTAATTTAAAAATTATAATACTTTACTAATCCTGTTAATAAATAAATGTGCAAATAAATGTCAGTTAAATTATATTTAAATAAATTATTATTTAAATTAATTAAAACTCTAGAAATAAAACAATTTTAGAATGTTAATGTAATCTCAAGAAATAAATCCCTTTTTCTTTAACCCCAAATTACCATTTTTCCACACATAATTACAAATTTTAGAATTAAATAACCCAAAAAATTAAATAAGCAAATGAATTATTCGCTCTAGCTTTTGACTCTACTCCTCAATTTGTTCCAGGAAGTATAAATTCTTCCAATGTATACTACTTGTATTGCAGTTGAATTACTCAAGGAAGGAACAACTTTTCATCGGTGATTTTGTAGAAAAAGTCCATAACATATCAAATAAATTTATACTAAAAAATATTTTTTAAAACTAATTAGGAATTTTCATTTAACTACTACAAAAGTTTTATTATAAGTTAAATTATTTAAATAAATTTTTAAATAAAATCAGACATTTGAAATAGAATTATTTTAACAGAATAATGCTACATATAATGCTAACTACATTTAAGTAACTAACTTTGAATAATTTCAAAATTATATCTGAAATTTTAAATGAATTTATATATTATTAATCGCTCTAGCTTTTGACTCTACTCCTCAATTTGTTCCAGGAAGTATAAATTCTTCCAATGTATACTACTTGTATTGCAGTTGAATTACTCAAGGAAGGAACAACTTTTCATCGGTGATTTTGTAGAAAAAGTCCATAACATATCAAATAAATTTATACTAAAAAATATTTTTTAAAACTAATTAGGAATTTTCATTTAACTACTACAAAAGTTTTATTATAAGTTAAATTATTTAAATAAATTTTTAAATAAAATCAGACATTTGAAATAGAATTATTTTAACAGAATAATGCTACATATAATGCTAACTACATTTAAGTAACTAACTTTGAATAATTTCAAAATTATATCTGAAATTTTAAATGAATTTATATATTATTAATGCATCTTCTTTTGAGGATTTTCTTCCTAAAAATTTTATTGGCAAAATATGGATATGATATTTTAAAAATTATTTTATAATTTTGTT